CACGAACTGCAAAAAGGAAGTGTCAATAGATAATTTGTTCAAAGGTATGTACGTTCTTTTCTGCACCTGCCTTCTTCATATTACCTATCACTATTTTTGGTTTAACTGCTATTAATATTTCATTCAAAATAATGAAAAATTTGTTTATAGTGTTGGCAATTACAATCCCTATAAGTTTTATTTTTTGGATTACTGAAATCTGGAACAAATTATACATACGTTTAACAAGATTATTCCATAATATTCGCACAAGATTATTCCATAATATTCGCACAAGATTATTCCATAATATTTGCAACAAAGAAAAAAATTCACCAATAAAAATGGAAAATCGTAATGAAAATCCTATCATTGATGATAGTGCACCTCCAACTTATGAAGAAGCAATTGCGATACCATAACAAAAGTGTATTATAACTGAACATATAATTAGAGATGAGCTAAATTGATACGATTACTTAATTTCTTACAATTGAATAATAATAAAATTTAGGACTCAATACACATTTAACAAATTTATGCAATCCTAATCTAATAATATAATTATTATACGTATGTACATAGAAAGAAATTTTAGTCTGTAATCAATCATTGGTCATCAATGATGCATAAATTTAATTGGTATTTGTTAGCATGTTCTTGAGTACTGCAGTTAAGTATGATCTCAGCGATAAATGATCATCCATCTCTATAATAAAGGTCACTTCAGAGATCAATTTATTTATGCTAGGCTATAAAATACCTGGTGATTAAAAATTTAGCATACTGCAGTTTCAAAAATTTATATCAATTAATGCATATGTAACAACATCAAATTAACAGCAGAAAAAAAAAAAGCTAAAAAGGAATTAAATGACTTCGCTAGTAGCATTTAATAATATACTAAACTTTTTACATATTTTTCTTAATATAACTGTAAATATATATATATATAAAATATTTATATTAGTTATATTTTTATATAATTATTAAATTTTTATTTCATAGTAAGATTATATTTATATAGAAGATAATACTCTATCTGAATAATTGAGTTTATCTTATTATCAATATTATGATTCGTGATAAGTTGTTAAAAATTTTTGCATTGTGTACTCAATCGTTTAGCAGTTTGAATTTTTGGTATATTAAATTAAGGAATTTATATTTTTTCGCATATGCGATAAATCGCTATACCCCCAATTTATTAAATAAAATATGATCGGTTACACAAATCGATTGTTTGACTGATTTGACATATGCAGGTTAGTCAACATAACGCGTAGTAAATAAATAAGTAGGGGTTCGATCGTAATAATTGAACTTCTTCTGCTTTAAATGTAAATTTATCCGATAGTATATTCTACGAAGTGAGCACAAAATAGTACCTTAGTAAATTATTCTTCGATATCTCTTTTTTACTGTTGTTATAGGCGTTAGGCCCT